AAGACATTGCATTTCAACCATTTTTTGTCAACTTTCAGATTAATTTACAAATAAAGTGTATAATATTCAAGGATTTTATACTATTATTTCAAATGAAACAAAATTAATTGAAATAATTTATAAAAAATATACAATTATTAGAAAAAATGAGATAAAAATTAAGATATAAACTATGCTCAATACAAATAATGCAGTAAACTTTTACAAAACTATTATTAACAAGTTTTTATTGAAGGTAATATTATATCCACACAAACAATAAGATATAAGTTATATCATATAACTGTGAATTTTATACATAATGAAGTTAAAGACTTGTAATTCCATATACTGTAGTACAATAACTACCAAATTATATTGCTATTATAATTAATTTATTATGAAACAAAATTTATTGTTTTACTATTATCATTGACTATTTAATACTTGTTATTTAATTTACTTCAGTTATAATCATGTGTTTGTCGGCGAAAAGGCGCGAATTGTGGAAACATCAATATTGTATATATTCATAATTACTAATCAAAACACAGTAATTAAATAAAATTAAATAATGTGAATGTGCCATTTATTACTATCATTGTCCCCGATATAAATTTAAATGCATAATATGCATATGATCATATAAAATATCACTCATTGTCCTATTATTAACCGTAATATCTTAAGTTTAGTATTTTATTTGTGATCTAGATTTGAAGTAATACTATTTTTACTTTTAATTACAATATTGGTAATTTAAATAAATAAATCTTAATCTAAAGAATTAGTTTAGTTTATGCATATAATTAATGTTAATCATACAAATCAGACAGAAGTGTAATAATGTAAATCTTAAATTTTTCTGTAAATTAGTGTAAACTTAATTTTTAGGTAAAAAATATCATTTATAACATTATTCTGAATAAGTTTGCACTACAGGTAACACTTGTTATGATATGAGAGTATTGAACATTAAGATAACACATGCAAAACCTCGCATTTAATTGCCTCTTATAGTCAACCGAATTACGGTTTCAAAAGTGAATTTATTGTACACAACATTCAACACAATTAATATATACTTTTATACTATTTAATTATGGCGCATGGTAATTGTAAATTACAATATGATCATTTAAATTTCAAAATATGAAAACTAATAATAGTTATTGTTTAACATGATCAGACGATAAATTCAGAAAAAATATATTGATATTATTAATTTCTTAAGATTTTAGACTAAATTATAAGTATTAAGAGTAGAGTTAAAATGAAGGCCAGAATAAAATCAAATAAAAACCATTGATAGTATAACAAGGTGCATTTAATACGGTTTCATTCTTACGTTAAAATAGAAATATTGTAACTAAAATAGATGTCAATAAAATAGTTATTGAATTTATTACTTATTATCTAAATTATGAGAACTTACTGGTAATATGACAAACAGAATCACAATATTGATTGTGTGATATTTTCATTCTTAGATTACAATTAGTGTTCAGTTATTTGTTAAAACAAATAAAACACCAAATTGAAAAACAATCCAGTTCGGTTTTATTAATAAAACCAAATTTGTCTTATAATTTATAAAACCAAGTAAAACACACCAAATAATAATAAAACCATATTTCCGTGAACAGTAATTAGTAATTACCATAATTGGTGATTGCAAATAAAAGTGCATACGTTTATAATTTGTATAAAGTCTTATAAATGAAAACTTTATTAATTTAGTGTTTCGTCAGTAATTGTAAACATAAATAAGAATAAGAAATGATTTTTATATTACAAATGTTAAGAAATAGAATTTTTAAAATGAAATTATATTAAGAGTAAATAAAAGGCTGAAAACTTTGTAATTTAAAAATAATTTACAGTAAAAAAGCTGTCGGTTTAGGAAATAATTTAAATAAAATGAGAATTAGATTCAATTGTCAGTATCGGTGGCGTCGTCGTCGCCGAAGTTGTATTTAACGGGTTGTCGGACTCGACCCGACTTTTCACGTAATTCCGGGGGAATCTCAAAGCCGTCAATCATTTCAACCTCTTTTGTTTTCTAATCATTCAAACAAATATTGAATTCAAATGCAAATCAATGCAAATACAGTATAAGAGAAATGAATACCTTTTTCTTTTTGGGTTTGTCTTCTTCGGACTCGGAAGCAGAGGAGCTCTTCTTTTTCTTCTCTTTTCTTTTTGGTTTTTCTTTCTTAGGTTTCGAAGACTTCTTAGCCTTTGGTTTTGGCAACTCGTCGTCCGAATCAAAAGCTTTTTTCGACGCTTTTGTGGCCTTTGGTTTGGGTTTGGGCTCAAAGTCGGGTTCAAATTCATGGTCCGAATCGGAATCGAATGCTTTCTTCGAGGCTTTTGTCGGTTTACTCTCAAAAATAGTCTCCAATTTGTTTGCATTTTGGACATCACTGGCAGGAGAGCTGTTGTCGTCGTCATCGTCGCTAAAATTATTGTTTTTGAAACCATTCTTCGATTCTTTCACACCGTTTTGATTATCATTTTTGGTGAAGAGTGAGTCAAAGAGCTCTTCGCTCGTCCTTTTGCTTGAAGTGGTATTTGTTTTATTAGCGCTGAAGAGGTCGTCATCGCTGTCGTAAACAGTCTTTTTAACATCAGTTGCTTTAATTGATTTGGCGATTATGTCTTCGCCATTGTCTTCATTGATAGTGGTATTAAGTGAAGTCAATTCATCCCTTCCAAGAACTGAATCTTCTTTTGCAATCTTTTTGGGTTTCTGAATGACTCGAGTGCTTGTATTTGACGGAATGTATTCGTTTTGGTCGTCATCGCTGTCTTCATGGAAGTTGTATTCTTCCTCTCCGTCTGACTCCGAGTCAGACCACGGATTCTTGCGCTTCAGGTTTGAGCCCTTCTTTGCGCTTTTCTTAGGACTCACTTCACTCTTCTGTTTCGTCGGTTTCTTAGGCTTAGGTTTTTCTCGACTCAACTCATCCGACAGATTAGTCACGAGTGAAGACTTAACACTACTCTTAGATTTGGCTCTCTTTTCATCAATGATTTGCGGCGAAACACCAATTCGTTCAGAAAGCGGTCGCCCGATATCATCGTCGCTATCAATGGCCTCTTTTTCAGGAGTATTTTCGCCGCTCTTTTTCTTCTTATCGTTTGCTTTTTTGACCGCTTTTTCTGATTTTTTGTAATTTTCAAAATCAATTTTGGGTTCAATTCTTTCGGCAAAATCTGATGGCTTAGAATCAATGCTAAGTTTTCCCGCTTTTGTGTTTCGCGACTTATTAGCAGTCGCTTTAGACGACAGCTTAATAGGTTTGGAACCGGACTCGCGTTCTAACTCTTCCACAATATCTAATTCCTGTGAGAAGGCCTTCAGGTCGTCCTCCCAAAGCATTTCGGGTGTCTTTTGCATCAAAAGCTCTAATTCGTGTTTTTTGGCATCTCTTTGCTTAAGCAATTCGTCCACTTTTTCTCTTAACATACATCTCATCGACATATCAAACAAATAGTCAAAGTCATAGCTCTTATACTTCTTCGGCGAATCAGAGCTCGTATCATATGATTCATAGTCTGAGTGCTCGTCAGCACTTCGGTCGCCATCTTTCTCATCCTCGATGACAATACCGTTCTTCTTAGACCAGGCTTTGACCGGATCCGAGTCGTATCGGCGATCAATCAATTGACGAACAAAATCCTTTTTGCGCACATTTTCCATATGAATCTTTCCCTCATTCTTCTCAAGTATAAACTTAGCCTTATTTTCCAGTTTACGCGCCTCGGCCTCCAGTTTGCCCTCGTAGTGAGCCTTACGCTTCACATACATCTCCAGTCGCACCGGGAAGTACTCGCGGAGTATCTCATCCGGTGTCTCATACCGTCGAAGGCAACCCAAGTGGTCAAACAATACCATCGATTTCGTTGACAGCGATGACTGCAGTTTAAACGTCTTGTGAATGCCGGTGTCCAACGATTTGCGGAGATTAGCCTCTGATAGATCCACAACAAACCGTACGGTTGACTCCGTGTGATATTCTTTGTATTCATTGATAAAAGCCGGCGACTTGTCTGTGCCGTGAAGTAGTGCTTCCAACGTATTCTCTTTGTAGGTCTGAGTCCACGTCTTGACGGGCAGTTCAGTGATTTCAAAGGTGGAGCCGTCGAGTCGGGCCGCCTCTCCGTTGATGACATACCTCTGTGCGTCCACTTCGACAATAGAGCCGCGGAAACCCTTATACCAGGGAATCATGAGCACCGGTTCGTCGCCGCGTATCATTCGCCGCAAATTGTCGACAATCTCGCGCGGGTTGTAATTGGGTATTTTGGTGGACCAACCCGTGCCAATGCCTTCGGCACCGTTCACCAAAACCATGGGCAAAATGGGCGCATAGTATTCGGGTTCGATGTCTTGATTGTCTTCCTTTTGTTTGTTGAGCAGAGGGTCGTCGAGAGCGGAGAATATTTTGCGCGCCAATGGAGACAACATTGTGAAGATATATCGAGGACTGGCCGCGTCTTTGCCCCCCTGTAAACGCGTCCCAAACTGACCGATCGGTTGCAACAAATTAATGTTATTACTGCCCACAAAATTCTGGGCCAAATTGATGATGGTTGACATGAGCGACACCTCGCCGTGATGGTAGGCCGACTTCTCGCCCACACTGCCCGCCAATTGGGCCACTTTTACCTCCCGTTTGTCGTTACGCAGGAAACACGTGAATATGACTTTGCGTTGGCCGGGCTTCAGGCCGTCCATCAGCGACGGTATGGACCGCTCGTTATCCATATTACTGAACAAAATCAGCTCTTTGTTCACGAAGTCTTTGTACGAAATGCTACGGGTGTTACTCTCGTAGAGGTAGACTTCGCCCAAACCGAGCTCTCGGCGCCTCTTACGCGCCTCCATGTTAGCCGTCAACCAGTCTTTGCGCTGTTCGACCAGTTTCTTACTGAACGCCAACTGTACGGCCCGATCGTCATCAGCGCCCGTGTATTTAAATGTTATCCGATGTCGTCTCATGTCCGAGAAGTACTCCTTCGCCTCGTTTGACGTCGAAGTACCCAAACCTATGGATCAAATAAAATGTCGGTTAATATCAACGCTACCAATGGTAAGTTATGAACGTGTCATACCCTTATAGTACTTCACTTTCCAAGCATTCCAGTTGTTTGTGGCCGACTTCCACTCCTCAAACTCTGGCAGACTGTAGAAAGACTGACTGTTCGTCCCTTTCGACACTTTCACTATAGGAGTAATAAACTCCTCCAAGAAGTTCAACTCCAAGAGTTTGGGCCAATTGTGGTGAACGAAGTTTATGATCAAACCTTTGATGTGAGAGCCGTCCTGATCCTGATCTGTCATTATCATCAGTTTCCCGTAGCGGAGTGTCTTCAGGTCATCGGCGGTCGAGTACTGTTTCTTGTACTGAAGGCCAAGGATTTTGATCAAATTGTTGATCTCCGCGTTCTCGAGGATCTGTTTATGGGTGGCTTCGCGTACGTTCAACATCTTACCCCTCAATGGGAACACACCGTACTTATCGCGACCAATAACGCCGAGTCCGGCCACGACCAGCGATTTGGCCGAATCTCCTTCCGTCACAATGAGTGTACAATCGATGGAGTGTTTGGTTCCCGCGTCGTTCGCGTCTTCCAGTTTGGGAATACCCTTCAGTTTCGACTGTTTCTTAGAGTTGCATTGTTTGGACAGTTGGGTCTGCGCTTTGAACCGAACCCAAGTCATCACCGACTCTACCACACCATTCCTCGTCACCGATGCGAAGAACTTATCGCTCGGAACGCATTTCGAGCCAAAACTCTTGGCCTGAAGAGTCATCGTCTCTTTGGTCTGTGAGTCGAACGTCGGGTTTTCGATCAAACAATTGACAAATACCCACAAATGGTTCTTGATTTGAAAGGGCTTTACATTGACACCCGCTTTGTTCTTCTTCTTGATTATGTCCACCATTTTGGCCACAATTTGATCGGCAATATAGTCCACGTGTTTAC